AGTTATCTTGTATATTTTCTGCTATTATACCATAATAAGACGTAAAAGTAAAGCAAGAAAATGCTGATAATGTCAAAACATTGCAAGTAAAACATTACGGGGCAAAGTGGGAAGAAGATGATGAGTTGTTGTACTATAAAAACTTTTTTGCACGAGGCAACCTGGTCCCAGATTTAGAAGAAACTCCAGATTTATGTGGTTCAGTTCAGAATTTTCCCACATTGATTGTATAGTTAAATTTTATACCCATTAAAGGAATTAAAAAACAATTATTTTTTTGTTTATTTTTCTAAATCTCCTTAAACGTCTACAACAAAATGAGCAATCTCCAGCAATTTATATCAAAGTCAGCAATCTCCAATTTATAATTATAGATTTCACCTATACTATGCATCCTGGAGACCTTGTAGTTGGCTACTAGACTAAAAACAATAATATTTCAATATAATATATAAAAAAAATTACAAATCTAGAATTTAAAATACCAAAATCAATTATGTCAATTTACTCAGTTTTAGTCTGATGGGAGATTGTTGACTTTGCTCTGACAGGCCTCATATGGTGTCAGTGTACCATTTAAAATCATACAATTTCCACAATCGATTGTCACAGAAATTGTCTATTGTCATGTGTGGATTGTGACAATTTCTGCTTCTTATGTGAAAAATGTTTATGAGATCGGCCACAAAAATTAACCGTTGACGACTTTAAGTCTGCTGTTGCATGATACGTTTATTAATTCCTTCTGGTCAGAAGTTTAATGGCATGGTCGTTTACCCAGTTCCATTGCATATAAAGGGTGGGCCATCTATAAGTTGAATTTTAAACTACGTGCTATTAATGAAGCTTTCAACTTAAGCGCCATGAATTGTTGACAGTGGTTTAGTTTTAACCTTCCGATTACAAAATATGCACCGAATAAATTTGGATCAACTTTTCGAAATACTCAAAACTTACTTTGAATGTGACTGTGATTGCAGAGACGGCAAGAAAATTGCGTTTGGAAGAAATGAGGCGCCGTCAAACCAAAGTATTACAAATTTTATCAAAAAATTGCGCAGAAATGGAATGCTGGTGGACATAAAACATGTTTCGCATGCTCATCCTAGACGTACACCTGAAGCAATCGCTGCTGTGGCCGAAAATGTACGCATGAACGCGTCAACATCAACTCGGCGCAGATGTCAACAACTCGGCCTTTCCCGTACCACTCTGAGGATGATTCTGCACAAAGACCTCGGTATGTTTGCGTACAAAGTCCAGCTTGTTCAGGAGTTAAAGCAAGTTGACCATCCACAACGTTTTCGCTTTGCTGAGTGGGCTTTAAACCAGTTGAACGATGACCCTAATTTTGCAAGAAAAATCATCTTTTCGGATGAGGCGCATTTTTACCTCGGAGGTTATGTCAACAAGCAAAACTGTAGGATTTGGGCCACGGAAAATCCACACTTCGCCGTAACAAAGCCTATTCACCATTTAAAACAAAACATTCAAGCTCAAATTGCCTAAATAGAGCAGCAAATTTTTGACAAAGTGCTCGAAAATTGGTGTTCCAGGATGGGCTACTGCCGAGCCAGCTGAGGTGGCCACTTAAATAAAATCATTTTCCATACTTAATCGGAAGAAACATTGTATCAAATAAAGCAAAATTCGTTGAAAAAAAATCAGTTTTTCTTGTTCTCATTGCTATCTTATAATTCAACATAAACATGGCCCACCCTTTATTTCTGGAAAATATTTTCATCTCGATATATCGATAGATTTTGCAGTTGCATTTTATGGCTAATTTTACACCCATATTAAATATTAAATTTTAATGACGAAAAGTCAAATTTTTTTTGAGATTTTGAAACTGCCAAGAAGTTTTAAGAGAGAAGTCTTAACTGGCTGGTATTTTTTACAAGCAAGTGCCTCTCGATGAATTCTACAGTTTGTTAATTTTGGTTCTGAAGCTACATCTTGTATACCCCTCACAAGTCCTGAAAATCGACCAGTTATTGCTCTGGTACCATCAATGCATTTTCCCACACATTCTACAAATTCAAATTGTTTTCTTCTACAAAACCGTTGCTAACGAAAGATATATGGTGCAAATCGGAAGAACACGAAAAAACAGGACTTCTTCATGAATCTCTGAAAAAAACTACATACCTATGAAAAGTAACACCAGATATTATACTTATTTTTTTGCTACAAGCTTTTTTAAATGTCTTTATTTTCCAATATCAAATTATTACATCGGGATACCTACTGGCAGCACGATGACAATATACAGTGTGTTCAGAGATGTTAAATCCAATATGGCTGCGGCCCAAAAATGACGGGTTTCCTATTTCTTCAAGACCTCCTTAATATGGTTAACAAATGAAGGGATTTGACAAATAGAAAATGATAAGGTTAGTGACCTCATAGTATGAGGTCACTCACCTTATCATTTTCTACTCGTACTACTACTCATACTAAATCCAATATAGCGGCCGTACCCTACATGGCGGATTACTTCACAACCTCCTTGACATAGATACCAAAGGGGTTGACGAGTATAAAAAGACAAGGTGACTTCACACTACATTCAATAAGGTGGCCCCCCCAAGATGGTGGTTTACCTTTTTCTTAACAACATCCTTGACATGGGTATCAAATGAAAGGGTTTCTCGAGCAGTATATGTTTGTGACTTTTAAGACCAAAAAGTAAAAAAATAATTAGTACTTTAAAAAGACTAAACAACAAGTTTTAACCCACTTTATAGTTTATTATGTCTTAAGTTTGATAAACGACATTTTAGTCACAAATTTAAATTAGCCACGTGCGAGCTTGCGACGAGTGATTAAATAATTAAGTTTATAAACGAGTTGCATACTATACTTTTTCTACGACAAATACATAATATTATCTAAAAAATGATTTAAATTAAATATTTGTATAAATCGACATCTATACTAAAATAAAGTAACCATCCCAATAAACATTTTTAATATAATTGTCACCATAAACAGTGCCCGTTATTAATTTTAATTAAACTTAAAATATTAAAATAACTTTATCATAGAATTTTTTTTATTGCTTTAATTGCAAAATATTATCACAAAGTATTAAACATTCTTACACCGAAAATGTTGAGGGTACAAAAAGTGACAGTTATATTAATTGGGAATCTACCGGCGTTAAAATGTGAATTTTTTTGTGTAAATCAAAATTTATTCCTTAAAAATACGACACAGAAGCAGTTTTTCACAATAAAAGTGAAGAAAATATTTTGTGGGCATTGCAAGCAAAATGTTTAATGTTTTATCAGTTAAATCTAGTTTAATGCACTACTACGGCGAAATCAAAAGCCAGTACAAACGTTCATATAATCTTTTCAAATATTGGCGTCAATACTTTTATATTTTTGAATTGAGATAATAAAATAATTTCACACTTAGTATTTTTTCACATTTTACCGATTATATGACAAATGTCAACTAACTTAAAGCTAACTTCAGCCCGTGACTAAAAATCTTTTGCTAACTTCAGCCTGTGACTAAAACGACATAAGGCCACAACTTGTCAATGTGTATTTAAAAGGTCTCTTAGTGTCACGGAAACATATATATACGTATATATAAGAAGCATGTTTTTTAGTATTTAAACTTTTAATTTATTAGTATTTTAGTAAAAAACTTTTTCTTTCCAACACCGTATAAAATTAAGAAAATATGCTCAATCAATTACTTAAAGCCATCATTACTTAAAAATAAATTGAAAATTTTGTATTTTTAACCATATCTACTTACCTTAAAGTTTGTTTTAATTTGTTTGCACAGTTTAGTTTAAATTAAATGAAATATAAAAAAACTTTATTAATAATTTTATTGATGATGGACAGTTACAACAATAATTAATATTAATTTGTTGTACAATCTTAATTGTACCGATATCCACACGCACACAGAAAAATTCAAATACATAAATAAAAATTAAACAAAGATTTTTTTTATAAACAATGTTGAGCTAATAGGTATATAGACACTATATTACAATTTTACACATAATCCTCAGTACGGTTGATTTTTTCAGAATTAAATACTGCACATAAAAGGTACACGATTTTCACAGATTTCTTAAAAAAGTGTAGATAATTTTTATTTCCATATATGTATGTAGGTACGTATGAGGTATCTATACAGGGAAGTTAAACGTATTTACATATACTCGCCATTCATACAATACATAACGTAATAATTTATCGTAATGCGTATATTTACAAAATGTGGGAAAAAGTTTTATAATTTATTTACACTAAACCCTATTAATCTATTTAATCACACTTTTTTTCTTTTTTTAAAATTAAGAGTAAGTGAGCATAGTATCTTTTCACAATTTTATACATACTTTCATTACAGGTCCAGCTCAAAACTTCCCTATTGTACATATACTATGAATAAAAATTATACTTGAAAAGAGGGTTTGAGTGGACAAGTTTAATATAAAATTATTATACAAAAATTTAACAAAACCGAATACAAATTTAACGATATTGCACATTTTAAATCGGTTAAAATAACATTGTAACGAAAATAAAAACAATGTGCAACAAAATGTGTTATTAATTTATTAAGACAAATGTTGTTATTAAAAGAATATTATTTTAACATAATATTCTCAATACATACCATGATTCACATAAAATTTTACAGACTTAAAATTTATGACACTGTACTAAAATTTAACGATTTAACACCATACCAATTGTAAAAAGTTCATTGGCACAGAAGAAATTGACAAACGCTATACGTCACCCCGTTTCAACTTAACGTGCAAACATACTTGGAACCATCGAAAACACGTTTTTAAAAGTTAAATAAATACTATTTATGTAGGTATATTTTAAATGTTTGTTACACAAAGTTAGAAGCTTTCTTCAATAGACATGTTTTTCCAGAAAGTTCCTCGCGAGCTTGCAAGTTGATCCGGCGTGGAATAGCGTTCCGGAGACCGGCTATGAAATCCGATGTGGCCTAAGATGGGCCGCAGTCTCCGTTGTAGGTGGCCCAGGGCTAGCTATACGGACTTCCGCAGGCGTAGAGGCCGCGCTGCATGGGCCCCATACCTCCCATCCCCATGGCCTGGTGGAATGCGTATCCTTCGTCCTGCAAGGACGCCAAATGGAAATCTGGAAACAAGGATTCAGTCGGTTAGAACTTTTTTAGGTCACGTCACTCCACTTAGTCAAAAGGGATGGAAGAAAGATATCATGGGAATACAATAGCCCAAATATAAAAATTCGGCAATGTGCCAAATGTACAGATACTCTGCAAACTGACCAAATTACCGGACATTGTGCAAAATCACTTCCATTTTGGGCAATATGCAAATTTACTACGCTATTTTAAGAAATCTGAAAAATGTCTGATGCCATAGTCAATCTGGGTATTAAAGGTTTTTACTCCTCACAATGACTATAGTCAGTGTGCGCAATACTTTCTGTCGAACTTCGCTATTCAGTCAGAGATTCATAATGACGAGCGGGAAGAAAGGAATATTTTTAGAGAAATTGAATACATTATGCAGTAAAAACCCAATCCAACCCAACCCAACCATTATATAAACAACAAGTTTTTGTTAATTTAATTTTTGTTTGTAGTTTTTTTTTCTAAAAACAAAATTCAGTTTCAATTTTACATTTGTGTCGTAAATTGGTGTTGCGCACACTGCCTAGTCAATATGAGAAGTAAAAACCTTTAATCACCGGATTGACTATCGCATAAGACATTTTGCAAATTGTCTTAAACAGCGTAATAAATTCGCAGATTGTCCAAAATGGTACTGATTTTGCACAATGTCTGGGAAATATGTCTTTTGTAGAGTACATTGCCGAATTTTTTAGTTTGCCGGTAACATAGGTATACATCCCTCTTACTGGCTTCACGTCAGAATAAAAAGTTATATATTTTTTTACTTTCCCCCTGTAGTTTCTACTAGAGTGCCATTTTTCGAAAACCTTTACTTTAAAATATTTTAAAATGTGCACTACCCCAAAAATGCTATTAGAAGGCAAAATTTGTTAAACTTGCTCAAATTTCGAACTAAAAATCTAAAAACAATCGTAATAAATGATTTTTATTATACTATTCTATTATTAAGTATATATTAATACCCAAACATGTTTAATTACTATTTAATATTATAACATAAGTTATAAGTTTTAACTAGAATAGTTTTTTCTCAGGTGGTAAGGTTATTTAACGATGGGTTTGGCACATGTATTGTTTTATTGTTTATTTGGAATATACGCTCTACGAGTTTGTCATTTTTTTTCTACGTTTCTAAACAATTTTTTAAAGCGATAATATTTAAAAAGTTTAGATTACCTTGGAGAGAGCGATGTTAAAACAGTCGTGTCAATATTTACGAATATAATATATGCAAAACTTAAAATAACATAGCATAACCTATTTCGTTTACAGTTATAATATTTGTACTTGGTTTAAAACCATTCACAGCATAGTAAGTATAAAGTTCTTAAAATTATTTTTTTAAGTCAAAATTTGCACATCTAATATATGGTTAACCGTAATTTATAAACAATTTATTTACTTCAAAGAATATTTTACATAACCCAGAAAAAAATGTTTATTTAAAAGAAACTATTAGTGAACCATCATTAACCACTAATTTTTCGTTACTTTATATAACCATAACATAATAACTTTTTTTTATATTATATTAGTCCTGACCGATACGTGTAATGAAACAAAATTTGGAGGCAAATTATAGTTTTATTTTTATAAATATATAAGAAACTTACATACATCATTTATCTATAAGAATGATCATTGTTAAGCACATTTTTAATCTCTTTAAAGAGGTCCTAAATTATTATATTAAGTACCTATGCTTTAAAATGTGTTCATATTTAAAAAAAATTAATTTAATAAAATATACTTCGAAGGAGTAAATTATTATAAAAAAGTGCTTTGAAGGATTCCAAAACAATTAGAAAGTGCATAAAAAACAAAAAATCACAAGAGGTGCTTTAAATGAGTCTAGAAAAATGCATAAAAAAAAACATAAAATAATAAAAAAGTGCTTTGAAGGATCCACAAAAATCTATTTCAAAGGGGTAGAAAATGATTATTAAATATTTATCCTAATAAATAGAATAAAAATAGATTAGAGAGACGTATTATTAGTGCAATATAATAGTATATTATGTATAAAGTTTAATAAACGCCATTTTAGTCACGAATTTTAATTAGGCATAAGCGAGGTTGCGAGCAAGTGTTTTATTAATTGAGTGTCTAAAAAAGTTTAAAAACAATTTAAGTCCATTTAGTACAAAGTTTATTATTTAAAGCTTTTATTATGTAATTTAGTACAATATCTAATATAATAGTATATTAGGTTCCAAGTTTGATAAACGCCATTTTAGTCATGAATTTTAAATTAGACACGAGCGAGCTTGCGAGCGAGTGTTTAATTAAATGAGTGCCTAGACAAGTTTATAAACATACTTTACTTTTTCTACGACAAATACTTATTATCTAAAAATGATTTAAATTAAATATTTGTATATAGCGACATCTATAAAACAATAGAGTAACCATTTTTCGGAAATCTGTATTACCAGCGCTCCGGTAAAAATATCAAATTTGTATGTGTAAATCAAAATGTATCCCTTAAAAATGGAATATTAACAGTTTTTGCATAGTATAAGTGAAGAAAATGTTTTATGGGCACTCTACGGTGGTGTCTCCACCCGAAATTAAGACAAATCTAGTTTACAGTCGGCGAAATTAAAAGATCATATAAACTTTTGAAACATTGATGTTAAGAAACTATTTAATATTTTGTATTTTTGTATTGCGATAATAAAATAATTTTTACATTTAATATTATTTTATTTTATTTTAACGATTGTATGACATTTGACAACTGCAGTTAGTGGACATGTCAACTAACCTAAAACTAACTTCAGCCCGTGACTAAAACGCCATAAAGCCACAATTTGTCAATGTGTATTTAAAAGGTCATGGAAACATGTACGATAATGGGCTTTTTAAAGGTGGAAGTAGAAAAAAAATATATTTATTGCTATGCAAATTAAACTGTTGTAATTATAATTGGCTTCACCGTTATTTTTTTAGATTTACACACTTCTCCAGTGTTAAAGTATTAGTAAAGTATTTAAGTATTGAAAGTCTTAAAATATTATCTAATAGTTTTTTTTTAAATTTATACTGGGAAAATCCTAAGTTATGAAAAATTTGATTTTGACGTTGCATATATTTCATTCGTAAGTCTTGACACGTTTGTTACACCATTATATACTATCATAGACGATATCGTCTAGTAGTATACTAGTATTTATTTTTAACTGAAAATTGATAATAAAAAGCATTTTTTTTAAGGTATGGTTATGAAAACCGATTTCAGTCGGTTGATACAGTTTTTATCAGCTCTATAAGTTGTAATTTGGATGGTACACTTCGTCCAGGCTAAAGTTTTAATAAAACTTCTAAAAACATTTTTTAAAGCAGTATGTGTAACTTTTTAAGTTTTGCAAACCGCCAACGAAAAAAAGTCACACATACATAATTCTGAAGGTAGAGGATATTTAAACAAAAAACATATTTTTATGAAAACTACTACGTTCTTTGTCATACGAAGTTGTACCTTAACCTCTTTTTAAATTAGACCATACTAATTACAATATTACGATGACTTAATGATATAATTGAAAATAATTACAAACTATAAGCTAATGCTTTCACTGGTCTAGTCTTTTATTAAATTATCAACCTATGTTATTGAATTTATAAAACAAACAAATTAAATACACTATAAATTTTACACCATCCTTATCTAAAATTTAAATTTTTACACGACAGTTCCCTGTGCATTTCCGAATTTGTTGTTTTTTTCTTTAAATATGTACAAACTTAAACGTGCAAATATACAAAGCCTTACAAAAATATTTTAAAAAAACAAGCATATAACCTAAAATTTACTTCTTTAATGCAAGGTTTAAAATATTATAAAAATGTGTTTTTAAATTGATATATTGATATATTTTTGGCCATAATCGTTTGGTGAGATGATTATGTTGAGAAATTGCCTACAGCAAGTTGTCTTTTGACACCTTTAGACTTCTTATAAAGGTTTTAGCAAGAGCACACATGCCGTAATATGAATGATAATAAAACTAAATTACATTGATGAATATTTAAAATAAAGTTATAAATGTGTATCTATATTTGTTCTTGGTTTAAATCAATTTATAAACATATTAATCTTACTAAAAACATTTTTATTAACAGTGCGCGGTAAACTTTAGGTTAAACCTTTGATATTACCTCATAATTATTATTGACATAATCAGATAATAATATCAAAAGCAGCAAACTAAAAAATAAATAAAATAAAATACCTATAAAATCTGAATCACAATAAAAAACATCCTAAGTAGCAAGATGGGCAAATTGACTAGGATGCAGGTCAAATTGATAAGGATGTCCATAAGGGGACATGTGATATGGAACGATATTCATACTGGCCATCTTGTGTTCCTTTTTCCACTTCATCCGGCGATTCTGGAACCAAATTTTGATCTGTCGCTCCGTCAGGCACAGCGCGTGCGCGATCTCGATGCGTCTTCTCCTCGTCAGGTACCTGTTGAAATGGAACTCCTTCTCCAGCTCCAGGGTTTGGTAGCGTGTGTAGGAGGTCCTTTGCCGCTTAGTCTCTCCGTTGGCATTTACAGTACCTAAAAGAAAAACATTCAATTAAGTAAGAGGCTAGAAGTTACAGACCTGAGTTGTAACACGTTTACAAATTTGCACTTAAGGCAGAGATGAATACATGTTTGTCAACATTTTAAAATTATAGAAAAAAGTTGGAACTTTAAGATATTGCAGCTGAAGAACCACAGGTTCTTTAAATGCCACTTAAAAATTATAAAAAAATGGTTTTTTAAAATAATATACCTATGAAATCTACCTAAGTTGTATCTTCAGTATGAATAAATGATAACTGTGTCAAGAAGATCAAACATTCTTTTCCTGCAAAGTTCGTGGTTTATTTATTAAAAAATATCTAATTTATAATATTGTTTTAAAAGTTATAAAGGCTTTTTCCCAAAAGTGATGTTTGCAACATTTGTCATTAATAAGTAAGGCATAGGTATTTTGTAGCGTTTCCTCGGCAAAAAGACCATCTTCGAAGATATAAATCAAAGTCATCAAAAGAGTCTGGACCTTGGCCAGAAAATTCGTTTGCGGTGTTTTTCCGTTACAGCGGATTAACACATCAATTGAACGAAATTTCCCGATTAAACTGTCCCACTCAGTATTATTCGAAATCATTCTAATGTGATGATTTAAGGCTGATTTACAATATTAGATATTAAAGAAATGTTTTTATTTGGGTATTTTTTATTTAACTGGTAAAGATTCCTTCACCTGTTAAAAGTATAAATTATAAGAGAATGTTACAGATGTATACATTTATTCAGTGTCACTATATTAATTATTTTCCCACTCAGTATTATTCGAAATCATTCTAATGGGTTGATTTAAGGCGGATTTACAATATTAGATATTAAAGAAATGTTTTTATTTGGGTATTTTTATTTAACTGGTAAACATTCCTTCACCTGTTAAAAGTATGAAATGTTTTTATTTGGGTATTTTTATTTAACTGGTAAAGATTCCTTCACCTGTGAAAAGTATGAATTATAAGAAAATGTATACTATATATGCTATAGCAGATGTATACATTTATTCAGTGTCACTAATATAGAAATATAATTTCTACTATTAATTTTACGTAATTATTAATTAATAATGTGAAAGGTAAAAATTGCTGCAATATCCAATATAAATTTACGAGTCTTCATTGATCGTTATAAAAAAATAAGCTTTTATATCATTACAATCGTTCAGATATCCTGCATTTTAATGTGCTTGAGATTAAAAATAACGCATTTGTTTTTTATAATAGCAACTCAAAGAACGAAAAGATCAACCAAATTTAAAATCGTTAAAGATTTCGGAGAGCATATCCATTGGCACTCTTCTCGCAGCGTCGTTCCTAAGAAAAATCCATTTAGTCACATTAAAGCTCGTTTAATTATATTTTTAATAGTTATAATTCAATAAAGGTAATCCTTATTTTCCAGTAACTTTGTAAACTAGGTGTGCCAAAAAGGGCGATATCGTTTTTTTCGCATTACATAGAAAACAAGAAAGTAAAAATTCTATCCAGATCCCAACCTTTAATTCCAATTTTAAGAGGTACCTACATCATCGAGTTTTAAAATTCCCATAGGATTTTTATCCCTGCATTCTTTGTAGCAACTTTGTTTTTCATATAAATGACTGATCATCCTTAAGGGGCCTTTAATTTCCTATAAAGATTGTATGAAGTCATGTTTCTATCGTTTACTAAAGGACTTAAAATGCGAATTTCTCAAAATTACGCGTATTTTTAAACCAAACTATTGATGATAGACCAAAAATTTAAAATTTAAATATATATTTTTTTTGTCGTCTTTTGTGAAAATATGTTGGTTTGTCATGTTTTAAGAGCCCTGTCAAAAGATCATCTCCATTAAAAAAATTTTAGGGGTAGCTCAAGATTTTTAAAAATTTCCAAAATCGTCAAAAATTGGATTTTTTTTATTTTAATTTTTTTTTCTCGTTCCGATATTATTTTTTAATTTGAAAATAATAATGATTCTGAAAATTTAAAATCGATATTTTGATTTCTAAAGGTCGCTCAAGATTGTTTTAACTTTCAAAGTTAAACTTTTAGCGACCTTTAGAAATCAAAATTATGATTTGAAATTTACAGAATTTTTTTTTATTTTTAACCTAAAAAATAATATTGAGACGAGAAAAAAAAATTAAACAAAACAAAAATTCAATTTTTGACGATTTTGAAAATTTTTAAAAATCTTGAGCGACCCCTAAAAATTTTTTAATCGCTCTGATATTTTGACAGGGCTCTTACAGCATGATAAACTAACATATTTTTACAAGAGACGAAAAAAAATATTGTTTTTTTTTGGGCCACCCTAATATACATATATGCCTATATTATATAGGAACTTTATAGTGCATTCAATCTTCTACAAAATTGTTTCTTACAAATTTATTATGTCACTAAACTATTGATAATATTTCAAAAAAGTTTAAAACCAATTTTTAGTACCTACAGTCAATGTTAAAAATTTATAGACTTATCAAGTCTTTAGGATTTTTCAGTTTATTTAATAATGATACAACTTATTTGGGAAAATAATGTTGTCTCTAACTTTTTGACTATTTAGTGTAGTGTAGTTTTTTAAATTTCCAAGTCCTTTATTAATTAAAATATAAACAATATAATCTTGACTTGAAAATTTAATAGTCTTTAAGGATCATCAGTCATTTATATGAAGAAAAATACGGCTACCTAGAATGCAGGGAGAAAAGACGAATAAAATATTTTCCTTTGTTTTTTCTACGGGACATTTTAAAACTCGATAATGTACCTCTTAAAATTCAAATTAAGAGTTGGGATTCGGACAGAATTTTTATTTTTGTATGGAATTTTTATGTAAAAGGGAAAAAAAAATTAAATTGACTTTTTTGACCCACCCTTATGTAAACATTACATTTATTATTAAAATTTGCAAGAAATTATATAGCATAAGCTAATATTAGTAATTATAATTATAATTATTATAAAACATTTTTTGCGACAAAAATACGCAGCCCTGCTTATACGAAAAACAATTTAAAAACAATTAATGTTGTGATAAAGGCATGTAGAACAAGGTATCGAATTCACGTTTCCGAACAGGGATCATAAATAACGTGGCTCCCACGCGTCGTCTCGGTCCTTCTATAAAGGTAACTTTTAACCCTTCAACGTCAACCCAACAACCTCGAGAGCAAATCCAAGACGAATGACTGTTGAAACTTTTATGCCTATTCGAATTCTATTCTATTTAGTTTTGTTTTGTTTTAAAAATTGATAAAAAAATTAAATGTGTAATTATTTTTATTATGTTTTAAAATCATATTTTTAATAAAATAAGTTAAATAAATAAAAATATCTAAAGTTTTAATTATTAATAATATTATTTTTTTATATGATATTTGCAACAGTGCATAATAAGAAATTAAAAAGAAAGTTTTATTATTTATATTTTTGTTAAAATGGCGAATGCGCCGGTATAAACATAACAAGTATTTATTATACCTGTTCCCGAATTTAAATGGATTTTTATTTTTAAGAACATGTGTCAAAGATGGTTTAACTTGTTTTAAAATGTTAAGTTATTTTTTAATCGCAATAAAATCCGAGAGATGATAAATAAAACGGCCCAAGTGAGCGTATAAATCATAAGCCCGCTGGAGTATTTTTATTTTTCGATACGCAAATAATTCTTAAATCTGGCAATGAAATAAGGAAAAAAATAATTGTCACACACATGTCTTATTTTATATCGCGTCCCGTGTATAAGCCGTATTTTTGGCATGCTGTCGCTTTTGAAATAAACTAGCATTTGTGAATGTTGTAAATCTTGGTATTCAAAAAACGTTACAAGTGTTCTATTTATGACTTGACGCAATACTTTTATCAAAATTCGGACCAGCCTATTTATAATTATCATCACAAGGAAAACCTTAGAAAGATTGTTGTAAAATGTTTAAATAATATTTGCTATTATAAGAGCATGCAATTTTTATCAAATTAAAAAAAAATTGTTAAAATGTGTTTTGGTAATAATTATTTAAATGCCTACCTTATATATAAAAAATTAAATTTGATAAAAATTGCTCGATAATATGTGCTTTCTCAGCCTGGTCTATACGCATCGAGTTTTCACAATGCGCGTCGATGACATTATTGACATTATTGACATTTAAGAATTGTCAACAATACATTGAAAGCCATGGAAATAATACTATTATTTTTATGTTTAAAGCAACACACTGCTTATCATTTTTAAATAAATAATTAGTTTTTTCACAAAAGGGAGGAAGACAGAAGTCTTAGTCGACAAATGTTTGAAAAGGTTTAATTGCACAGCTTAACCGCGCACGTTATTTTTGTTTCAAGTAAAAACTGAAAAACTTTGCTTGGATTAGTACTCGATTTCGATTTAGTATTCTTTATATGCTTATATAGTTACGTTAGTGTGTGTATTTTAATGAAGTGATCATAGTGAATTATTGTGTTTTTAATTGTAAATGTAACTCAAGAACCAATTCGAAGTTGTGTATTTGTTTTTGTAGAATTGACTAATGATTACTTTGCCTAATATAATTTATATTTAAGTTTGGACATTTTTAAGAAATCTAACACAAAATAATAGTTGTACAAAGATAACCTTTCAATGAAACATTTTTATATTTGAGTTCTCTAAAAAAACGCTGAAAACTTCATTTTTAAATAGTAAACGACAAAATATACCTACAAATTTATGGCAACATAATATTATATATTATATATAATATAATACCCTCAATCAACGCTTTTAATAAATCATAATGCTGTTTGCATTTAGACGACTTATTTGTTTTTATAAATGTTACAAAATTAAAAAGTTTTTTTACGTAAATCATTAAAAAATGTGTATATATTATATTTAACAGGTACAATTTATATTTACAGGATTTCCTCTCGTAAAACACCCAACAACACAACAAGTCATTCCACGTTTTTTTTCTCGATACTTTTAACATTTTCTCAAAAAACCATCGTTTGTGACAT